AGCTGGCACACCAAGCATACTTGCTTCTTCTGTGGCAAAAGCAAGATGAAGAAATGGGCCGTTGGCGCCTGGCACTGTGCTTCCTGAGTGAACGGCTCGCGGGGCTCGGGCCTACTCCTCCGCTTCTGCTTTCACAGTTAAGTTTACAATCAGAATACTGAGAGAATTGAGGAACCAGGAGAAGTGGTCCACTCGACACATCCCTAGTCTGCAATATACGGGCCGGTTTATATAATAACAAAAGAAAAAGAAAAGAAAAAAACTTGTCCGTGTTTTCTGAGACTCCAGTCTGACCAGGGCTCCCAAATGTGTCCCATGCTTGTGCGTGTGCTCACTAGCCCCTGCACCTGTGGGCACACGTGAGGATGTTGGGTGTCTTCTTCTATCACTTGCCGCCTTGTTCCCTGGAGATGATCTCTCACCGAACCAGAAGTTAGACAGGTTTCCACTAGGCTGGCTGGCCAGAGAGTTCCCAGGATCTGCCCGTCTCTGCCAGTGCTGGGATTGCAAGAGCATGCACCCAGGCCGGGCTTTGGTTCAATAGGTATTGAGGATTGAACTCGGGTCCTCTTGCTCTCACAAGTGCTTCTCCCCACTGCGTCCTCTCCCTCATCTGTCTCGTGTTGATTGGGAAGAAGGCCTTATGGGATCAGCTGTTCAACTGTCTCAGATTGGGGACACCTCCCCCACTTCGTCCGGCAGCTTCCATTGTATTTCTCCTTGATTTTGAGACCTGTTTACACATGGTGTGGCCCACAAACCCTCCATAGCTGGGGCTTGGTGGTAGGATATTTGCCTTGCCTGTGTGCTGCCCTAGGTTCAATCCACTAGAATGCCCAAATGAACCAACCTCTCAAGTTCACTATCCTGGGAGGTGATAAATGCATGCAGCTGTGAGCAACACCTCTTGGGACACAGCTTCCGGGGCAGCCTATCATCCCACATGATGCATGTGACTTCTACCTACTGATCCGCTCTGTGGTTTTCTCCATGGTCTGGGGAGTGCGGTCCAGCTTGGGATCATCCTTGCTTGAGTCTTGGGAGACCCATGACTTTCAAGTGCTCTTGGGTACACATCTTGGGTAAAATTGCCAGGCCATTGGGTACAGCAAGTTTATAAGACTCCCAGGGGATTGTGTCATTTCCAGCACTTAGTCTGGTGGGTGGGGACACTGAGGCCACAAGAGATGGCTGTGGTGAGCTACTGTTGTGTGGTACAGCTGGCGGCCTGTCTAGTGTGTCCTAGGGGTGAAACGCGGTCACTCTCAGGATGTTAGTCCCAAGGAGGGAGGAGAGGCATGTTGGGGTACAAGGCATACTGGTATGTGCTTATGTTGGGGTATAGGGAATGTTGGGCCATAGGACATGCTACATACAGTGTGAGGCGTACTTGGGTGTGGGCTATACTGGTGTGTGAGCCATGTTAGGCTGTGGTGCCTGTTGGTCTGTGCAGCATCCTTAGGTGTAGGAATGTTGGACTGTGGTACGTATAGGGCCATGGGGCATGTTGGGCTATGAGGCATACTTGAATTTGGGGAATGTTGGACTGTGTAGTATGCTGGAGTGTGGGGTTTGTTGAGTCGTAGGGCATACTGGGTTGGGGGTCAATGTCGGTTTGCCAGAAATGCTAGTGTGCAAGGCCTGTTGGCGTACAGGAGAGATGGAGGAGGAGCTCAATTTTACACTGTGGCCAGTGCAGGGACGGAGGTCTCCACTGAGGCAGGGTGGCAGGCCCTTTCCTTGGGAACTGCAGCCGGGGAATCCGACAAGGTTAAGGGCGGATTGCCTTGGAGACTGCAGCCTGGTACTACATGAAGACAGCTGCAGCTCCCCCTCGCACCCGCCCCCCACCCCAGCTCTGAAGGGCACAGGATGGAAGGAGTGAGTGAGCCGGCCTGAAGGCCACTGCTTATCGTCGGAGTTCCGTGCCAAGCACGTCCTCCTGATCCACAAGGATACTTTCTGTCTCCTAAGCAGAGGGAGGCAACCTCATGTGTGCTAGCTAAGCTCAGGGGCCACTGCTGGTGGATACATGATGCCCTTGGCAGCTGGGATCTTGTGATGTGAGCACCGAGGTCTTCCTGGGGCTGGTGTCTGGCTGCAGACCCCCAGCCTTGCCAGGTGTTGAAAGGATGCCCATGGAGGACTCACCATGAGGATGGGAAGAGGGTCTGTGTTTAGTGCGTCCCCTTCTGCCTTCAGGCCCTTTATTCCTGTCACTGAAGATCTCAGGCTGGGGCCCATGGGCACAGGGGAGCTGGGCTCTGCGGGCAGTGGGGCTGCCCTAGGGGGTTCTGGCATCCTGTGCACAGGTTTAGGGTTCACTCAGGGTGTTGGAGTGCCATGGAGAAACTTGGCAAAGGGTTACCTGTGGGTAAACCTGTTGGACAGCCAGTCCTGGAAAGGGGCTGAGACCCCGGGGGTCACAGGAACTTCTGTAAGCTTGGCGAGAAAGGCCAGGCTCAAACTAAAATCTTCACCCTTAACCTCCTGGCTCCCAGTGAAATCAGCCCAGCAGCCCGAGAGAGGCTTCTGAAACATGGGTCGCTTGGCCCCCACAGTGTCTGTGACTCCCTGTGGCCCATGGGAAACACAGTGGGTCCATTTACCTACCTAACCCCATCCTCCCCAGGTCCAGCTGCGAGGCCAGGCCAGGCCAGGCCAGGCCAGGCCAGGAGAAGGACAGTGCCTCATAGGCTTGTAGAGGGAGAGCTATTCCCATACCAGCCACAGTTCAGCTCTCCTGCTGCGAGGCCCTCTTGGGATTCCCAAGTGTTGATTTTATAATCTGGAAGAGCGAGTGGGGAGGATGGAGAAAGGCAAAGCGCACAGAAGCGTTAGAGGGTGGTCCAGGACTGGCCTCACCTGCTACCTCATCTGTCTCTCAGTCTCTGTCACTCAAAGTCTCAGCCCCCTCCACCCCACCCCCATCTCTCCTTTTCCCTCCTCCTCTTCTCTCTTCCTTCCCAAACATGAGGCCCAGGCCACAGCCCAAGGTTGGGGACAACACTGTAGCTCCAGTGGCAGAAGGGAGGCAGCTTTTATGAGGTTGTGCTAGATGGAGGCATAAGAGGATGATGGATCCTCTGTCCCAGCCCTTTCGGCTCAGGTCCAGAAGGTTGGCTGAGTGCTCTTTTTCAGGCCCATGATAATTTGAAAGTGGGGCTCTTACCTACTAGTGTCCCTGAGAGCACTTCCTTCAACCCAGGGGACTCAGAGATGTCTGAGGCCGGGCAGTGGGGGCACATGCCTTTAATCCCAGCACTCAGGAGGCAGAGGCAGATGGATCTCTGTGAGTTTGAGGCCAGCCTGGTCTACAGAGTGAGTCCTGGGACAGCAGGGCTCTATAGAGAGAGGAAGACAAAATCATGGGTCTGTATACATGGTGTGTATGTGAATGTGAACATGTCTGAACTCTCTGTGGAACTGTTCTCTACCAGGACAGGGTCCACAGGCCTTTTAAGCCTAGGCCTCACGGGGGCCAATCTGCCCAATGTGGCAGGCCTCCAGCGGCACCCTGAGTTTCAGCCATTCTTCTCTACACTGCCTCTCAGTCACCACTGGCCACTCTCACGGCCAAAATCCCAGGTCCATGGGCATGAGGCGGGAGATGGCTCTCAGGGTCATATGACCTGCAGATCCTGTCACCCCCAGAGTCCCAAGAGCTCCTTAAGCCCCAGCCCCAATGACAACCCAGCGCCTGCATTTCTCAAGCACTCTACCCTGTGCTACCATGCAGGGGTCTGCGGACATTGTCAGGAAGACTCTGGGCTATCGGTCCTCCCTGAATTCTCTTGCATGTGCCCATTAATGGAGTCCTGTCCTTGTCCACTGCTCTCGGATCTAGGTCAGACCCTGCTGTCTTCCCAGGTGAATGAGGACTATCAAGGGCTGCTGGGAGGCACATCTGACTCATGGTTACAGATGCAGCAGTAGGCCTGGCTGACCTCAGGCAAGGCAATGTGGCCTTCCTCTGAATGTTATGGACACTTGCCATGTGGACTTGGCTATCCACAGCCCTGGCTAGCGTTGCCCAGTTAATGCTCACACACTGTGAGAACTGAGCTGCCCAGCCTGGGTAAGGACTTGTGTGCATGTTTGGATGTCTGCTGTCCTTGGGCTTTGATTCTGCAGATCAGGACTGGAGCTTGAGGCCAACACAGGCCCAGGAAATGGTAGCGCAGAGACCTTAGTTTGGTTTCCTAGCAGTCCCTGACTGCTCACACCCTGGGAGATGCCAGTCCATGAGAATCTAGGGCATGGTCTTTCTGTGAGGTCTCTATGTAGGTATCCTTGGGTCCTCACTGTCTCTGAAGAAACCCCCTCTATGTGACCATGCTTTCTTGCTCCTGAAATCTTGTAGCCATGTCTTCCATACTCCCCTGGGGTTCTGGGAAAGGGACAAGGCTCAGGTCAGCTCTGTAACAGAGAACCTTCCCTGGGCCTTGGACTTCTCCTGGTCAGCACCCATTTGACCCTCTGTACAGAAGCCACCAGTGGTCTAGGTAGGGGCTTCCCAGGGGCAGGGGTCTGGATCTCAGCTCCTAGCTAAGTAGAGTACGTTATGAGACACTGTCATATAGACCTCAAGCCTGGCACCCAGCAAAGGCCAGCTCCAGGGCTGCAGAAGCACCCAGAGACACAGCTATCACTGAGCCGGACAGGTCCAGGAGGAGGAGTGCCCTTCTCCCCGGACAATTAGTTCTCCTTCGTATCCATTTCCCAGGCCCATGACGCAAGCAAGAGATAAAGTGGGGGGGGGGCAGCTGGCCAGGACTGGCCCTGTCCCAGTTCCTGGGCCAGCAGCCCCCTACCCTGGGGGCCCCACTGCCAGAAGACCTGCTCGTTCACAGCAGGTCTTTGTGCCCCAGCCTCGCATGTGCGGGGGTGGGACAGGGTCCTTGGCACGGAACAGCTCTCTGACCACATGGGACTGCAGTGGCCAAGGTCTCAGCCATGCATAAATGGGATGCCCCGGTTGCAAGGAACAGGACTCCGCCGAGCAGCAGCCAAGTCCTCCACCACTCTGCCCAAAGCTCTGCATGGCTCTCGGGCCACCAAGGACCCTGTGCCCTGGCAGTCTGGACCCAGGTAAGACTGGTTTGCCTCCAGGGACACATCCTGGGCTTAGCTGGGCTCCTTTATCACACCCTCAGAATGGCAGCGCCTGCTGTCCCTGGCCTCAGTCCTAAGCTATTCCTGATCGTCTTTTGCAGGGGACTGAGCCTTCCGGTGGTTGCTGCTGCCTCCAAGTATCAAAGAATCGCCGACACAGACTCGCTGGCTGTTCCTTTTTCCTATGCATATACTTCTTTGTGGATCTGGTCTAAAGAGGTATAGCGCATGGGAAAATGGAGCAGTGAGATCTTCCCCTCCAGAAGGATGCCCTTAGACCTGCTTCCTGACCAGGCGACTTCTGCTTCCCTCCCACTGGACCCCGGGGCTGGGCGCTTTCCTGTCCCGCTCCTGGGCACTGTAAGAGAAGAAGAGCCGCACGCCTTTCCTGTGTCTTCGAGGGAACAGTGCTGGCCCTACCCAAGCAGATCTTAGGGACCAGTCAGGCATTAAAATGGAGGACTTGCACTGGGTGGGGGAACTCTGGGGTAGACCCTACTGATCCAAGGTCCTACAGAAAGTGTTAGAACAGGAGCTGAGGCAGATCTGTCTGAATTTGTGCTTAGGCAATCCTAGGTTCTGGGGACCTTGGATGGGCTCAGGACTTGATCTATGAAATTTTCTTTACAGGTGTGAAATCAGTATGTGAACACATTTTCACATTAGTGGGTGATCGTGGGTCTGATGTTGGAGGAGGTAAAAGGGTCAATTGTGGATTCACTGGGCTCTGGGTCCGGTCTGTGTCATTTCCTGTCACCATTATCACATTTTTACAATGATGGATATGGTTGATTTTTTTTGAAGTTCAGGCTGAGGCTGGGTGCCAATCAATCAGTGGCTGAATGCTTCCCATTGATGATGGGTAAGGAGATCTTGGGTTCAATTTCCAGAACTGAGGGAAAATACAAATTTGGAAATCTGACAAAAATAAAACTTTTGGACCAAGCTGCTGTGCTGTGCTGTTCTTTCTTCCTATGACTGCGGTTTGGGGTGTGTGTGTGTGTGTGTGTGTGTGTGTGTGTGTGTGTGTGTGTGTGTCACTGTGGGGAGCGACATCCCTGGCGCCATACTCAAAGTGTCATATCAAGGGAGGGATGTCAGAGGTATCACATGGGAGGTATCACGACTGGAGCTATCACGTCAAGGATAGGATATTACAAGTACCACACGGGGGTTTGTCACACGGGAGTGTCACATTAGGGTAGGAACATAAGGGGAGGCTAGACATTGGTAGTGTCACATTGGGGGAGTCACACTGGACAACGTTACATTGGTGTAAGGGATACTGGGAGTGCCACATCGTGGGATGGGGCATCAGGGGGACAGACTGGGAGATAAGGATCTCAGGTTCCTTGGTAGGGCCCTGGGGCTGGCACACGTTGGTTCACTTCTTAGAGGGCCAGACTCTTGGGAACTTGCTCAGCCAGGGAGCAGGGCAGTAGAACCCAGGACTGGAAAACTTGTAAGTATAGGGCAGGGTCTTTATGAAAAAGGAGCACACGCTCTGTGAGCTGAGCTGCAGAGTCCTTCAGGTCCTTGCGGTGTGAGTCACTGGTCTCAGGATGTGGGTGCTTCACTCCGTTAGCCTAAATTGGGCCCAGCAAGCTACTAGCTCTGTCCAGCAGCACCCCACCCCACCCCACCCATCTACCCCCAAGCTGTGCCTCACCTGTTCCTTAACCTCTTCTAATTGTCACCTCCCTTCATGGGCCACTGCCTGAGTATGGGGAAAGGAAAGGGGAGAGGACACATTTAAGGGATTCCCAGCAGGAAAGTTCCTTGCTCTGTCCCCAGCCACTGGCTACCCAGTAGGGGAGAGAGATGGGGGGTGGGGCAGGGTCTGTTAGGATAAGCCCTGGGTATAATGACTAGGGAAAGCAGAGTTGTCAGGATCCTCCCTGTCTATGGGGACATGACAGATCTGGGGAGACTGAGGGTTCCATGGAGCAAAGAAAATGTGGTTCAAGCCCTGGGGCTCCCAATGCCACGCAATCCTCTAGAAGACTCTCAAGGGAAGAACGGTGAGGCGGAAAACAGGCCAGAAGTCTATAGGAGTCACTGTGTCCCAGCCTGATGTCCCAGGACTGGCCAGTGACAGCTTCTTTGTGAAGGCTGGTTACCTGTGAAAAGAGCCCCAGTCTCCTCAAGAACTCAAGCTCTCTGCCTCACTGCACACTCGGAGCCTGCTGGGCCCTCTAGGATCAACTGTAGTTTCTGGGGATAGTCTGCTACTAGGAGAACAGCTAGCTCAAGCTTGTTGGACCACGAGGCATCCAACTTGCAAGTCCTCACCCACTGAGGGAAAAGTGTGAGGGCTGTGGTCTTTGGTTGGTACAATAAACAAACTGTCAATCGTGGACAGCACCCCCATTGACCTACCTATAATCAGCTATCTCCAGGCTCCCACAGTCCTGGGGGCTTTGTTTAGATACTAGTCACTGTACATCTCAATGTAGATTTTATATAAGTCGTGGGCTCATTGTAAACATTTTCACAGCATGAACACTGAGAAAGGGAAGTCTAAAGTACTCCATGGTCCAAGGTTGGCTTGCTGAGAACTCGGAACCTTAGAACAGGCTCCTGTTTCCTCTTTCACTATAGCCTGGAGTGTGTGTAGGCATGACTCACAAAGGTCAACCTCACCTTCCTGGAGACTGAGCAGGGTCCTGGGAATGAGTGTCCCCTGCCGCCGGTTCCGGGAACTTACATCCCAGCTGCCGATGCGCAGGCCCTCAGTGTAGGACTAGCAAGAGGCAGTTCACCCTAGATCAGAGCACACTATCACAGCCCCGCTGCAGGAAGCTGCTGGTCCTTGATCATTGTGCTCAAGGGAGGCTGCTGGATGAAGGTTCAGTCAGCGCATCCTGCAGGTGAAGTTCTGGGTCAGGAAGACTCACACAAAAGACTTAGTCAAGGCAGCCTCAGGTTCTTATTTCTCAGTTTATCATTGACTCTGGAAATGCTGCTGAGTGCTCTTCCTGGCTGCAGACACCATCATGGCCATTGACTAGGACCTTGCTAGAGGGCTTCAGAGACTCAAGTCCAAGCTGATAAACATATCACGTACCTTCCATTCCACGGCTCTTTATTACCTGTGAAGCTGATAATTTCTATTTTTTCAGTAGAAAAACCAGTTTTGCCAACACTTTTTATTGAATAAATTATTCTTGCTGACTATGGTAAAAAGCTGCACACAGATGCCTGGTGTGGTGCATACCTTTTATTTATTTATTTGTTTATTTATTTATTATGTATACAGTGTTCTGTTTGTATGTATGTCTGTATACCAGAGAGGGCACCAGATCTCATTACAGATGGTCATGAGCCACCATGTGGTTGCTGGGATTTGAACTCAGGACCTCTGGAAAAGCAATCAGTGCTCTTAACCTCTGAGCCATCTCTACAGCCTGGTGCATACCTTTAATGCCAGTACTTGGAAGGCAGGCAGGAGGATCTCTGTGAGTTCTAGGCCAGCCTGGTTTACACAGCAAGTTCCAGGACAGGCAGGACTGCATAGAGAGATCCTATCTCAAAAACAAAACAAAACAAAACAAAACAAAACAAAACAAAACAAAGCAAAGCAAAACAAAGCAACAACAACACACACGTACACACACGTACACACACACACACACACACACACACACACAAGCTTTAAATATAATAAGCCCATGCCTGGCTTTTTAATCTGTATACTTACCTATCAATTACTTTACAAATTCACCCTTTCAGTGAAAGAATAGCTTTAAAAATTCTTCAGCTGAGCTGGACATGGTGGTTCCTGCCTTTGTACTGAGTTTGAAGCTAGCCTGGTCTACAGTGTGAGTTTCAGGACAGCCAGGGCTACACAAGAAATCCTGTCTTCAAAAACCAACAAAACAAGGGTTGGGGAGGTGGGTCAGTGGTTAAGAGCACTGGCTGCTCTTCCAGATTACTGAAGTTCAATTCCCAGCACCTATATAGTAACTCAATGCTGTCTGTAGCTCCAGTTCCAGGGGATCCAACACTCCCACACAGCTGCAACAGCAATGCACAGAAAAAAAATAAATAAATAAACCATTAAAACAAAACAAAGTGCTGGAGAGGTGGCTCAGCAGTTAAGAGCACTAGCTGTCCTTCCAGAGGTCCTGAGTTCAATTCCCAGCAACCACGTGGTGGCTCACAATCATCTATAGTGGGATCTAATGCCCTCTACTGGCATAAAGTTGTACATGCAGATAGAGCACCATATACATTAAATAAATAAATAAACAAAACAAAACAAAACAAAAACAACCGATGAGTGGTGGTAACGTACGCCTTTAATTCCACCACTCAGGAGGCAGAGGTAGGTGGATCTCTGTGAGTTTGGGGCCAGCCTGGTCTACAGAGTGAGTTCCAGGATGGCCAGAGCTATACAGAGCAACCTTGTCTGGGCGTTAGGGGGATCAACAAAACAAACAAAACTTCTTCAGCCATAAATTCCCTAGTATCTTAGATAGGACTGAAGCCCATCCATGGACTGGGAGAGTTCATGCCATCATATACAGGATGAGGCTACCACATCATGAATGTGAAAAATGAACATCTACCAGGCATGATTTGTGAACTCCGCCAGTGGAAGGCCACAGAATGAAGTGCTTCCTCAAAAGGCACACTTTGTCAAAAGGCACACTTCCTCAAAAGGCACACTTTGTCAAAAGGCATAGTACACAAACTCAGCAACCCAGCAACCGACAGACAAAGGTGATCCCAGTGTGTGTGCCTGGCTGCCAGGGTCTGGGAGGTGGTATGCACATGCAGAGGCCTGGGGACTTGACCCACTTGACAGAACTCCCAGGAGGAATCAGAGGGCAACAGGAAAGGCTGGAGCCAGGCCAAGGCTGCCTAAGGGCTTAGTAGCTGTGAATGAGAAACAGGGAGAAAGTCAAAGGTGGATGTTGAAGTCCCCAGAAGTGCATTCAGTGAGGAGTCCTGAGTTTGACCTGTGTGTCATTTGATGATTCTGAAACCATGTTTGTCTGCAGAAAGAAGCAAGTCTGGAGGAGGGGTGAGAACCCACCCCAGCTCAGCTTGATGGTGGCCCACTCGCCTGCACCTCTGACAGCAGCTCTGTGTCTGTCTCTGGCCAGCTTCATCCGTTCTAGGGACTGCAGGAATGTATGGTGCTGAAACACACACCCGCCCCCCTCAAAGTACTGTGTTTGTATGGACTGTGCTGTGGGGGTGAGGAGCAATGGTATAGGGCTCCTCGTTCAATCCTCGGGAGGAGGAGGGGGACACTGGGTCCATGTGGCTCAAATACTGTACACATAAGGCATGTTTCCCAGCTCAGAAGGCCACAACGGCTTGGGCCCTGCAGGTGGTGGGCAGAGGAAGAGGGATGGAATGGCCCAAATGCCAGTTCTTGTCGGTTGCCCATCCTTGTTCTAGTATCATACACCGTGCAGTGCTGGAGAATAGTCAGCCAGTGAGAAAGATCTCCTGGCTTCCCAGTTCTTGTATGAGGCAGAGAGAGTCCAGAGATCCTCGACTCAGACGACCAAGGGACTGAAGGTTCAGAAGGAATACTCAGACAGTTTTGTTTTTAGTGCACCCTACAGTGCTCTTCCTATGTACACACACACAAGGCTCAGAATCATCCGCAACCCAGGTACCCACTGGGGAAATGCATCCCCTGCTGATTTGGGAATGACTGGCCTGTGGCAATTACCCACTTGTTTAATACATGAGCAAATCAGTGCAAATGTTGAAAAGACTGCTCCAATTCTACACAAGTTGTTACGGAATCCAAACCACCCAGGCAATGCACAGTACAGAGGTGGCACTGAGAAAATAAAGCCACCTTCCATGACTTTGGCTGCTGCTAATGGTGCTGTGCTCTCTGTTGTCTACCTCCTTCACGTCACACAGTCCTTGCTGGTTCTGAGTGACTCAGTTTAGTCTGGAAGGTTGCTAAGGAAGACGGCTG